AGTCACACCTCCTGTTATAGATGAAATTTTACAGTCACACCTCCTGTTATAGATGAAATTTTACAGTCACACCTCCTGTTATAGATGAAATTTTATAGTCACGCCTCTTCCATCGACCTCAAGAATAATGGGTGCTGGAAATAAAACCACATAACTGTATGGGGATTCACAGCCTTCCCTCTCCTGCCTACTAAGGGAATTATGGGCTGGCAAAGGGTCCAGCAAGGTTGGATTGATTTTCACTAGAAAAGGCAGAAGAGGAAGAAGAGGGAGAGAAAAAAAAAAACAAAAATCCTCAAAACTGAACTAATAAGCAACATCATGATAAATGGAGAAAAGACTGAAGTTGTCAAGGATTTCATTTTACTTGGATCCACAATCAACGCCCATGGAAGCAGCGGTCAAGAAATCAAAAGATGCATTGCATTGGGCAAATCTGCTGCAAGGGACCTCTTTAAAGTGTTGAAAAGCAAAGATGTCACAATGGGCTCAAGCATAACAACGATTGTGAGGATGGCGCAGGACCAGGCAGTGTTTCGTTCTGTTGTACATACGGTTGCTATGAGTTGGAACTGACTCGACGGCACCTAACAACAACAACAAAGGGTGTGTGAGGGAGAGAGAGAAAGGGAGAGAGAGGCAGCAGGCAGCAGGCATTTTATTCCATGGTAAAGTTAATTCAAATGACCGTTGAGGGACGTTCAAGAAGCAGATAAACACGTGGGGATAATGAGGAGTAGATGCCCATGCAGATTTGAAGAGAACTGAAATGAATGGGCTCGGAGTCTTACGTTGTTGTTGGGTGCTGTGGAGTTGATTCTAACTCATAACGCTCCCATGTAACAGAATAGAACTGCCCCGTAGGGTTTTTTTGGCTGTAATGTTTATGGAAGCAGATAAACAAGTTTTTCTTCAGCGGAGCTTGCTGCCTGGTGGGTTTGAACCACCAGCCTTTTGGTTAGAAGCCAAGCACTTAACCACTGCACCACCAGGGCTTCTTATAATCACTTCCACTTATTTAGCACCGACTATGTGCTAGGATCTGTGCTTATTTCCCTACTTTATCTCATTTAATTCTTACAGCCAGCCTCTTAGTTAGGTATTGTCAATACTGATGCTTTGCCAGCAGGAAACTGAGGTTTACTGAGGTTCAGAGGTTAAGAGATGTACCTAATGCAAAATGGTGTGATCACTTTGGCAAAGAGTTTAGCCTTCCCTCAAAAAATTAAACGTAGAGTTACATATGATCCAGCAGTTCTGTTCCTAGGTATATACCCAAGAAAACTGAAAACACATGTCCACTCAAAAACTCGTACGTGAATGTTCATGGCAGCATTATTCATAATAGCCAAAAAAGTGGAAAACAACCCAAATGTCAACCAACTGATAAATGGATAAACAAAATGTTATATATCCATACTAGGGAATTTGGTAATAAAGAAAGAAATCACAGAAGCTCTAAAGAAATGGAGAGATAGTCCATGTTCATGGGTAGGAAGATTCCATATTGTTGAGATGTCAGTTCTTCCCAACTTCATCTATAGATTAACACCATCCCAATCAAAATCCCAGCAAGTTACTTTGTGACTATGTTAATCTGACTGTCAGAGTAGAACTGCCCCATAGGGTTTCCGAGGCTGTAATCTTTATGGAAGCAGATTGCCACATCTTTCCCCCATGGAGCAGCTGGAGGGTTCGAACCGCTAGCAGCCAAGTGCTTAACCTCTGCACCACCAGGGCTTCTAACTGGACTACGCTGTTGTTGTTGT